CAGGGAGGGGGTCTGCAGTGTGTCAGAGTCACTCATAACCCTCTGTCATCGTAAACCCATTGTCAGCAGAACTAGAGAACTTGCGCGTGTGAGTGTTTTCTAGTAGTTTTTGGCACACACTTGTGTCTTGTTTGAGGAACAAGTCCCCTCTCAGCATTTGCAAGTGAGCACTTGAGATGGAGTAAACCAGAGGTCGGTGTTTATTTACTGTTTGCAGAAACTGTACCTGACTTCAATCCTATATTCAGGGAGGAAGTCAAACTAACAAAATAAATATCAGACACAATTTAAGTGACAATTAAAGATTCCATAAAAACCAAATAAAATGCAAAAATAAAAAATGCTTTTAGGCCAGTTTGAGTGTGATTTAGTGTGAGGCCAAATTATTTAAACACACAAAAATGTTTTTACTCAAAATCCCCATAGCAAGCGTGCATCGGTCGTCCCTGTGTGTGTATGTGTGTGTGTGAGCGTTTGTGTGTGTGAGCGTATGTGTGTGCGTTTGTGTGCGTGTGTGCGTGTGTGTGTGTGTGTGTGTGTGTGTGTGTGTGTGTGTGTGTAACAGGGATTGCCCTGTCACTGGCAACACTGTTCCACTTCTCCTCAGTGACAAGCAGCAGCACATTGTGGGACAGCTGAGCAGGGGGAGAAATGGGGGGGAAGGGGGGAGGGATCAGTCCTCCTAACCCCAGGTTAGCTTCAAGATCATCACTGACCTGGAGAACTGTCATCTGAGCGCAGAGGGGAAATCTCAGATATGTAAGAGGAGAATAACATAACAACAGTGAAGTAGTGTTGATTAAAGGGGGATGAACAAGGGCCTCTACCCTGAGATCCAATATGATACACAGTACCCACAAAACATGTAGTACAGGAGTATGAGTTTTTGGTGATAAATTGAACAGGTTTTCTATTTTCTTAATTATAACCTTGAAGTTTCAATGAAACATCTATATGATAGTAACACTTGTCTCTATTTGCTTTTTCTTTAAATATATGCTAAGACTTTTATTCGTTTGATTTTGAAGGTATAAGCCGTTGGTCTTCTCCAGAGAAAATACCTTAAGCTAATATTTGTAATGATAGGGGGAAAATAACAAGCAGGGTTTGGGTTCAACTCTACTTGAACCAAATTATCATCTGAAAAGACATATTTATGTTACAATGGTTGAATAGATGTCTTTCCATTACATTACATGACACTTTTATCCAAAGCAACTTACATACTCAGTACTGTGGGCAATCCCCACAGGAGCAATTTGGGGCGAAGTGTTTTGCCCAGGGACACAACGACATGCTGACTGCAGTGGGGTTTTGAACCTGTGACCCCCTGATCCAAACACCAATGCACAACCCACTACACCACACGCCTCCCTATGGCTTGCCTATAGACACATGTTGACATGTTCCTGTATGCAGTGTTGCCTGCAGTTTACTAACAAGAGAGCTCCTTAGATTAGTTGGCAATTATTTTTGAATTAATTAATTGGAAGTCTACCAATTAATAACTTCCCATTTTCCCTGAAATTACTATGAAAATACATTATATAATTTACAATGCATTGTAATATATATAAAGTTCCTTTCAAGCTAACTTATAAACAAGACTAACAAGACTTTTTGTATGTTGAATGAAATCTATTTTGTGCATTAACATAGTGCAATTCATCGAAATCATTAACTTTTCTGTCAACATTAAAACCTGATCAACCATTATTCTATTATTAAATATCTAAGTACAGATGATGGTTGCTGTAGGAGCAACATGTACATGGAATACAGATTAGTGTACAGTACAGTAAAAAATGGAAGGGGAAATGTGTTTTTGTATTAATGTATAATGGATGCATTGCTAGGTTTAAAGTCTGGACTCGTGCAACAATATTGTGGACTGGGTAAGTGCCTTTCAGAGGGGACATTGTCACCATAGTGACAACAAGAGATGCCCCACTGCGTCGTCCCGGAGACTGTCACCACACTGTCGCCATGATAACTGCACATCCATTACTGGACCCTTTGATAACAGTCTTTCATACATAGCTCTCTTCTTTTAGATTCTGTTGCTCTATACTGACGAATAATACAATTAAAATACACTAGACAACATTAATGGTGAAGTGTGTTGGGCAGTATACCCCGCCCATCAATACACAATGAAAGCAAATCAATCACTCTGAGGTAAATGAGTGGTAAGCCTTTAGATACCTGCTTTACTATGCCCCACTGATGCTGTTGAGTAATAAACCTTACATAAGCTGCAGTGCTGTGCCATATGACTGAACCCTGAAGGTGATGTGACACTATACGGCCTGGCTAATCAGCGGGAGAATACTCCCATTCATTGCAGTTCAGAATGAAGTGCCCACACCTGTGTTTTCACAGGGCTCTGGAGGCCTGAAGAAAGCTTTCTAAGTCAGGGGAAAAACAGTAGTTCTGTAGCCCAACCATGCTGCTGCTCACTGGGGCTTTTATCGCAGGGTAATCCCCTACAACAAACAGAATGGCCGGCATGTGCATATGCAGCTGTCGCAGTCTTAGTGCAAGTGGTGTCATGTTAAATCACAGGAATGGACTGAGCCCCTGAGCCATCCGCTGCCCTTCCCTGCACTGGCATCCCGCTCACTGCGAGGCTCCAGCACACAAACACATACAGTATACATACTCATGCCAACGTACATAACCCACTTCCCACTGACATACTTTGCAGCACATACCCTTGGAGTTATTCACTGTAAATAACTTGTGCTCCACATAAACCAGATTATTTACATGACATATATTCCAGTACTGCCACGGGTTCTATGATAATTAAAATACTCAGGTTCTACTGGAGGTAAATCAGAAAGGTGTCTGACAGGGTAAATCCAGGCTCTCATAACATCCATCTCGTTTAATTAGAAGGCAATTTACACCCTGATGTTGCACAAGTGTAAACCCCAATCTGCATAGCTCCTTTAGGAGACCCGCTGAAACCTGTCTAAGGCGAGTGATGTGTATATGAGCGCAATGTTGTGAGATCTGAGTAGCTATGCAGAAACTAGGACCCAGATCAATTCAGCATAGCTCCCATATATCATTTTCTGTGTCAGACCTCCTGCTGTAGGTAAGATGAGACAACAGCTTGAATATGTTTCTACTCAAATGGACTTTTATTGTGTCATATCTATCTCATTAACCCGTTATGTGTTCTCTTATTTGTTTGTATCTCTGTCTTTATTGTTTGTTTGTTTTATCTCTGGCTCCACTGACCTTCTCCCATATCAGCAGCAAGATTAATTTAGCATCCTGGTTTCTGGAGCGACAAAATAGTCGGGACACAACAGAGAGAAAGTGTGTGTGTGTGTGTGTGTGCGTGTGCGTGTGTGTGTGTGTGAAGGTGAGAGAGGATGAAGGTCCTGTCCACACATTCAGTTACAGATACCCAGACACACAATTGGAAGAAAGCAAAGATGGGTAACCAGGCTGGAGGTATGCAGACGAAGGACACCGGAAGAGGGTGACGCAGAAATACTTGTGTATATATAAAGCTGCTATAAAAGTACATAAGAAGGCCAGTAAGAGCAATAAGGTGATAAAAACCGGCAGAAGTATGAGAGCGATGTTTTACAGAGAGTTTCCATCCCAACTATTTTTCCTCTAGGAAGTATTGCATACGCCATAGGGGATAAAGCGAGAATGTGTTAAGTTATTCTGGGGTGGAGATACTGTCACCATGGAAACATTCAGATCCCTTACCACTCCCTGGGCCGTGCCATTGTGAAGCTGCCATGTCACCATGCAGGGGTGTGATGCCATGCTTCGTGTCTACGCTCTGTGACGTTCGTACAAAGCAGTATGCTCTTCTTGATTTAGATGCAGGGTGAGAGGAAGCAAGTATGGCTGTCACGAGCATTTATTACTCAGGGGGAAATCACAGGGAGGACGGCAGCATACATGTAATGTCTGCCAGCGGTGGAATTTAACTAAGCATTTAAAGTACCACTGCGTATTGAAGGACATCGTTTTATTCTAGTATTTCCATTTTATTATTCTTAATATTTCTACTCCACTTCAAGTTTCAACTTTCTTCTCAGAAACTAGGATGTTATGTCATAACTTATAATAAGGTATTGCTGTAGATGTAACTACCAGACAGTGTATTTAAGCAGAGCTGGATCAGTTGATGAGTCTATATAAAGTAGGGTCAATAGAAATACTACATTATCATTTTTCAGTTCCAGCCTCTCAAATGTATAGATTCATGCTAAATTACTTATGTTAAAAACATCTGCAGACTAATCCATAATAGTAAACAGTCATATTTACAAATATTTAAAAATGAGTTCAATGATGGCTCCACGCAGTAAAATGCTGCTCACACATAAAACATAAAGAATAATGATCTAATTATATAATAGTAACAATCAAAAGCCTTACTGATAATATTCAAATGACTATCATTTGCATATTTACAGGTATTGATACTTTTACCGAAGTACAAGGTCTGAAAGAGCTCCCCCCAATGTTGATGTTGGCTATTCAAAGAGCCATGTCCACTTTAAAGCACTTTGAGTCAAATAACAGTTTAAGAGTTTAATGTAATTATATATGTTTACTGAAACATCTCAACCTTTTTGTGGTTTCAGAAGGTGGAGAGCTTCAGAGAACGCCCCTTTCTTCACACTCAGGGTATATTCCCTAATGGGTTATTATTATCTATCTAACTCCCAGGGGTAATATAGCTGAAGTATTTATGCAGGTTACAAAGCAGAAGTGCTACAGCAACAAATAGTGGACTGGAGGATATGGTGTCTATCCCAAAAATAAGGAAGCAGGACAGTGAGTAAGCAGAGGAGAGTTGCAGGTGCTGGAGAGCAGTCAAGAAGGAGAGGACACATGACAGCTGGCCTGTCATACAATGACTTACTCTTCAACCAAAACACACACACCCAGCTGCAGTGGGTACTGTAAATCAACGGTCTCTGGTCTGCAAGATAACTAAATAAATCACTTTCAACTCGTTATTGCTTTATGAAACTTAATTTTATTCCATGACAGGTAGAAAAAACAACTATATGAGCTGTACCATGTTAACCCTCATTACTCTTAGAACTGCAACAAGTCAGTCATTTAGAACCAGTATCAACTCTATAATACGTGCTTAGCCATTTCTATAGTCTTTATATAGACAAAGCTTTATTTCCCTCGGTGCACAATTATGTAGATAAATACAACAGGTTACATTAATCTTGTATAGCTCTTATACATCTAATATAGCTCTCACAGCAGCTCAGTGCTGGCTCTAGTCACAACGGGAGGCATGCTCTATGAATGCATTACATGTTATTACCGTTACTGTACAGTGGCAGTGGGCACGAGTTAAATTATGAGACTTCCCCACCTGCTGGCTGAAAGATTAAGCACAAGTAAAGAGGAGATCAAGAGCTACGACATTCCCTCCGCGCTGAGCAGAGTCAAGAATGAAAAACTTTCGGTCACTGGATATCCAACTGTTAGCGTTTTAGAGCATACTGTATTTGGAGGAAGCTCACACACTGATACAATCTTCAAATAATACAGAGCCATAAAAATAAAATATATACTATACAAATTAAAGTTCAGAGTCATTACGTGGCAGTGTAACGCTGAAATAAAACCTCCAAGAACAAATGCCATCGAGGGTACATTTAGTAACTTATCCTGTGTCCTTTAACTTTTCAAATATCTTCCAGAAAAGGATTTTGCTGTACAACACAGAAGAGCTTCGTAACACACGCAGCCTTTCTGCTTCATTAGAGGTGATGGTCATCTGAATTAAAACTGAATCATAAATAAATTAAATACTGAATATACAGGAACTGTTCATTTATCAACCGTTCAGCAAGAGATGTTAAGTACCCTTTCTGAAAGATAAGTTAAACTACCAACAATTATATGACATGACTTACTGCAGGCATAACTGTCATCAGAGACTTGGCAGCTGTGAATATGGTATTGAATACATATTAAACATCAAATTACTAGCCCGAGAGGAAATTACAGTAAATACTTCAGCTGTGCATTCTCAAGCAGGCTAAATTCAATTCTACATTTTAAAACAATGTGTTGAGAAACTTGACTTAAACCACATTTGTATTGTACATCCAAGTATGCTGAGAAGATTGAGAAGCGTAAGAGGATACTTCCATGGAGCTGCAAATGGTTCCTTCAATCTTGTCTTCATAACTCAAATAAGAGCCACAACACCTAAAAGGACATAAAGAGGTTTTTTTTTTAATGTTTTCAAAATGGCCTATTAAATGCCTTATGAAATGTTCTTGTAGTTTAGTACCTGCACTGATCTTTCCATGTTGTCCAGATGAAGGCTCTCGTGGATCTACTGTATGGGGAAAGAAATCAGACAAAACTAACAGAACTAAGAGAAGCAATAATAACCAGCATCATTCAATGTAAAAAACAAGAACATTCACAGCCTGGAGAACAAGGCTTCATGAATTCAAATAAAAGCTCACACAAACTGTACACACCTAGGTGATCTTCACATCAATAAATACTTTTGCATGTCCCTTATTGACAATGTGGCTCCAAAACAAACATTTGGTAGGACAAACTGTCATGTCCAAGATGTCTTCTAACAATACTTCAGAGGCACTGTGATGTAAAGTAAAGCATGCAACCAAGAGCAAGCTTCACCAAGTGCTATACTTATAATAAATGTGTGTGTATCTGTGTTGGTTTTAATGGTAAGGTGCACGTTTTGTATGTGTGTGTGTCTATGAGCAGAGTGTGCATGTGAACTGTCGAATGTGTGTTGTATTGTTATGTTGTCGTGTCCCTAGAAGCTAGCAGATGTGTGTGCACCGTTTAGATGAAGAATATCTTAATAACTTTTTGAATGATTTTCCCACACCCAGGACAAGGAGCGTGGAACTTGTGAAGCCTCCTTGCACATGTGAAGCAGGTGAGCAGGTGAGCCGTACGTCCGTGTATGATGTTCCCGTTGCGTGGTCGCACTCGACACAGCTTGCAAAGCTCCAACAGGGCCTCGGGCCTAACTTCTTCAATCTCCATGCCCAGATTCTCCTGACTGTCCCCCCCTGAAAACTGCCCATCACTGAGAAAGCTGGAGGGCCAGGGCTCCTTGCCTTTCCTTGAAATCATAGTGGGCAGTGGGCGGTCGGCTGTGGAGTGGGAGGGCAGGATGACGGGGTCCGACACCGTCCTGCTGCAGTCTGGGACGTCAATGCCCGCGTCACTGTCATCCTCCTCATCATTATCATGGGTGGTGAGAGAGCTGCATGCTGGGATGTCAGGAACGGAGAGGGAATGGGCGAGTCGGGGGACATCTTTGTACCAGTTCTTACGCAGAGCCCAGCAGCGCACACAGTACTTCTGGAAAGGAGTGTTGTACTTCCTGCATTCTGAGCACTGCCACGCATCCTGAAGGGGAAGGGACATCCAAAGTCACGCATGTGCAATTTTTAAATCAACAGCTTATTAAAAACAACCTACAACATAGAGTGAGAAAAGAAAACCATAGAAACCTGTGTGGAGATCTCTGTGTCCGTGTCATCGCTCAGACACTGAGAGTCCTCCTCTGGTTCTTCCTGCATCTTCAAAAATATATAAACAAGACTTTTAGTCAAACGTCTCGTAGTATTTTTGGCGCATTTATTTCTATTATCAAAATATTTGAGGTTATATGAGCCTGACAATTAAAGATAAAAAACAAATGGCTACCTCTTTATCTGCTTTCTCCTCCTTCCCTCCTCCATCGTCATCCTCAGGTAGCACCTCCCCTTCTCCTGCGCTCCCTTCATCCAGTGCAGCCTCTTTCATCTCCACGCTCACCTGTTCACTCCCACCCTCCGTCAGGAACCAGAGGTCGTCGGTGGTGTCCGACACGATGGCCGTGTCCTCCTCCTGTGCAGGAGACAGCTGACACATCAGTCAGACCACCACTGTTACACTCCAATTTGTGCAATTTGCCAACATGTGTCTCTTAAGGGCTGAACCAAAAGCTACTCATACGTAGGGATGGGTATCGTTAAGGTTTTAACGGTACCACTACTTTTATCGATACCGCTTAACGGCCCGGTCTTTTAACGGTACTTTTATCGGTTCTTTTGGAGAAAAAAAGAAGGTAAACTAACTAAACAAATTGTAAACAAAACTAACATTGCTTTTTATTTAAATTAAATACATAATATTTCACATCAAAAGAAACAACAACATTTTAACAAATCGTATTAAATAATGTGATGACAGAACTGTAAACAGAATAGCTGAAACTTTAACAAAATAAATAACTCAGTTACCTCTAATCATTAACCCATGTTTGTATCATGGAGTTAACTCCGTGTGTTGCTGCTAGCATACATAATACCGGACGTGGAAAAGTTACTCGTGGATGGGGCTACAGAGCTACTAGAAAGACAGTCAAAAACGGTGCATTTTTCCGTCTGAATGTGCACTTTTGTAAGATGTTTAGACAAATTGCTCGTGTTACTGCCCTTACATGCTAAACTCTTATTGCACTTTTGGTAACGAGCATTGAGACGGGTAAAGTTTAACCACACCTCGGAGCGCGTTCTCTCCGCCATCTCCTCTGTGTGTGTGTTGCATGCATGTAGCAGCTGCGTGTGTAAACTGCATGTGTGTAAACTGCATGTGTGTAAACTGCATGTGTGTAAACTGCCCCGCCCCCTCGCAGACAGACGGGAGAGAGATCGAAAATACTAAAGATAATCATAGAAGCATTTTGCAGTCTTTTTGCATGTTAGAAACGGAGTTGGCGACACTAACACCGCAATATAATGTTTGTGTAGCAATAATACATGACATATTTTTTACATGTCTCCAGTACCGATAAAAAGACCGCTAACGTTGGAGCTTAACGGAACCACGGTCTTTAATAATTCAGCCCCGGGGCCCGTTTAATACCGGGGCTCGGTACCCATCCCCACTAACACGAGTTGAACTTTCTAACAACACATGAGGTTTCTTACTTGGTTAGTGTGGATGTCAGTGGAGCCGTTGCTCCTGCGGCTGTAGTTACTACGGAGATTACCCAGAAACCACCAGGGGAGGCCAGATAGGTCCCACTCGTCTAAAGTAACATCCAGTTTTGGACGTTTGCAGGCTGACCGTGGCAGGCCTTCAAGGGAGTCTGGAGAGGTTTAGAATCGTTACATTCAGCATTTTGAGCGGGTCTTCTCCAGGGAGATTTGCATTTTATAAACCGATTGTTTGTTTACCATCGTCGGGCTCCCGAGGTCTTCGCTGGGAGGGGGTCGGCAGGAGAGGCGCAGCACTGACAGCCTCCAGCCCTGCTTTGACCACACCTCCACATATCTGGGAGGGGACATGTGAAGGACAAAAGTTAGAAACAGAGCCGTAACTGGGTACTTGGAGGGCTCGCAGCTCCTTTTCAAGGTGGCCTCTGGGTAATGGGAACAAGGGGCAGGGCAATTAGGGTACGGGACAGTGGGGAGGGAGGTAAAAACACACTTTTAAGATAAAAAGGGAGAGCAAAAGCATGTGGAGAATGAAAGAAAAAGGGAACGAGAAAGATGAGGTAGAAAAGCCAGTGTACTAATAAACACAGTGAAGAAACTAGTGAGTCAAGATTAAAAAAACAACTTTAAAAGTTCCATTCAAGTAGTGACTATGATCTATACTGAACCAAATATCCATGAGAAAAATATATGGACTTTTGAAAAAAACATTCAGGTCATCATCAGAATCAAACTTGGCAAAAACCTCAGAGTATGATTTATTACATGTGTTTGGATTTGAAATGGAGTAAATGATTTCATTCATTAAGCCAGTGAAGAAAAACCAAGAACTGGCTTCAGCTCATCAGGGGTTAGACAGAGTCTTAGCCAGGAGTAGCTGCTTTAAAGGTGGATGTTGAAAAGGGGTGGGAAAAGGGTGTTGGAACACGGGGGTTGGGGGGTTATGGTAGGGCCTGTGGCTGGATCAGGAGCTGCGACCCTCCAGTTTCGGAGCAGAGAAGAGAACTCTGAGACAGACAGAGAGGGTGACTCTGCCCCCCCATCCACTGGGTGGTGCTGGTGGATCGCAAAAGAGTGCAGATATTACCACCAGACCAAAGCAAGGATGGGGTTGTACAGAGACGGTGCCACTCTGTACAAATTCACAGCAACGAAGACAGCAGCCCTTACCCCCCCCCTCCTCATTACACACAAGCAGTCTGCAGCTCGCTTTAGCTACACTTGCTACACTAAGGCCAACTGGTCTCAATCAAACATTGGCATCAGTGTGTGGCCGCGAATGATACAAATATATCATTTATTTATTTTTTAACAAATGCTGTGTGTAGCGAGGTGAGAAAGGTTTGGGGTCTCTGTTTCTCCAGAGCACCATGTTTCGGTTTTACCTGACCACGATCCTCCACTCCGCCCTCTACACACTCACGGCCCACAGAAAGATTCTCTGCAGCGTCTGCATTTCAGATAAGACACAGTAACAGAAAAAAGAAGACAACCCCACCCTTTAATTATAGAATAACACACTCTCTCACTAAGGCCTTCTTTTGCTGCTTTTTAGGACAAGCTTGAATGCTGTTGCTCTGGTCCCTGCATGTCCAAGAGATGCATAAACTAATCACAATCATTCATAATGTGTGCAAGAAGAAGGCTGAAACATGTTTAGATATTCTCCATATACCTCGGGATGTTTTCTTTTAAATAAGGCTAAAGAAGATGTTAAAGAAATGAAATACTGTGTTTGTCAAACCCAAAGGGAAGAGGGAAATTAAATATTTGCGTTTCAAATCAACAGAAATGTTCTATAGGAAATATATTCAGACATTCCGTGTCCTTTCATGAAGCCCCGTGACAGAAAATTCACTTCATATAACAACTGTATAAAAGCCAAAAATGAATATGCGACTTACCAGAACCACCAAGCACAACTAAATATTTCTTGAGCATTTCATACACCGGGCTGAAAAATGAGAATATGAGAGATTAGAATGACCCTCCTTTTCTAAGATGTATAATCAATTATTAGTGTTGGCCAAGAGCTAAATTACGGTGTGGATAATTACCTCGGGTTCTTGACGGAGAAGCTCTCCACCTCCAGCAGCTCTCCCAAAGGGTCATCCTGGCAGTGGACTATGTGCTGCCTCTGTTTGTCATACAGTTGCTTTCCCATGATGTACTGACCCAAATAGTGCATCACCTACACAAAATACTGAATATCAGATATCACAAGGCACCTACAGGGTAGATATTTACCTATAGGAACACAGTACTGAACATAGTCTGAAGAACACTTGGTTATTAGCCAGTCCGACAGGCTGCACACTAACAAACATGCTTAACATTTCTCCTGACAGCTCACCTCTTTGAGTGTAAAGACTTCTTCCTGAGCTCCGGCAACACGCAGAATCTGCAGGAGAGGGGCTTTTGGTTGTACCTGGGCGGGAAGAGCAGTACCACCATTTAGCTTTCTATATGAAGTATACATGTGATGTTGGATAATTATACAGGCAAATAAACCAGTCATGGTTTTTGTTTAACTGTACCTGATTTCCCTCTCCAGGCAGCGTTCTACATGATGAGCTTGATGCCAGAGGCTCGGCCGACAGGGCGTTCATAGTAAACAAACTAAGTCTGAAACACAAAATGATAACATGTAAGATAAACCAGCCTATACATTCACATGCATTTTCCATACAATCACATAATGCTGATGTCAAAGTATTTCTGTTTTGTGCTATTTTGTACTTTCACTCAGTACTTTTCAATCGTGTACTTTTAGTCTACTACATTGATGTAATAGTTACTTTGCAGATTTGCATTAATAATATGAAATAGAAACAATCCTTAAATAGGACTTTATTTACACGTGGATTCAAATACACAAGCTACCCTGCAGCATACAAAGTAATAATTAACATAGCTGGTAATAGCTGCACCATTACTAGCTTTGATAACACTTTAATGCATCAATAATTATAAACAAAACACATTATATATATTATTCTGTAATCTGCATAATGAGTACTTATATTTGGATGCTATACTTTTCTTAAAATAACATTGTGATAGCATGACTTTTACTTGTAACAGAGTATTCCCACTTTTACTTTGAGATCCGAATACTTTTTCCACCTCTGGCTTCAATGTATTATTGTGAAATGGTAACCCCACCAAGGCTTACATATTTTACCAAATGTTGTGGTTGTATGTGATCGAAGCGAAATAGACAGCAGTAAAAACAATCTAGCGTAGCTGAGCGCTGCCTGGGTGGATCCTTACCCAACTGATAACGTGTTATATTTTTGCAAGAATTACGGTCTTTCAATAACAAGGCCAACCTAGATCGATTAGCCTAGCCAGCAAACGTTGGATAAATGGGTGAAATGTTAATTTAACACACAGAACAATGGCACCTTGCTAGCTACTGGCATGTGAACTGTAACATATGTGAAGCAGTGGCAGGTGACAAGCACGCCACAGTTACTAGTGAACGTGCCAGTTAGCTAACTAACGACAGGGCTAACGTTAGCTAGCAAGCTATTTCCTGAACGTTGAAAATTATCTCACCGTGATGAGTTGACATTACTTCCCAGCTGCTAGTTACATTGTCCCTCACGCCTTAACAACTCGCCGATACTCTTTAAATATGTATATATAGCTAAAGAAAGCTGGCGTTTTTAACTATAGCGCACTCTAACAACACACAGTTAGCATAGTTAACTACAGATTCAAAACGATGAATGCGGCTACAACTTCCGGCTGTTCAGACAGATAGACCAGGAGTATGGCGCCCCCTATTGTTTGATAAAAGCCTCATAGTTACACAATCGTCTGATATAACAACCAGTCAATGGAGATAACACTATCCTTATTGAGAGCATTAATGCAAGTTATCCAAGAGCTTTAACAATAATGGGAACTAAGCACCTGGGGGAAATTGTAGGTATAGATATGTTTGATATAGTGGTACATTTATATTTCCATTATTTCAGTTGTTGAATAATGCTCAAGTAGCCTACTGTACTTAAGAACACATTTGTGGTACTTGTAGGCTACTATCCGGGCTAATTTTTAAATGTCTGTCTGAGGGATTGTGGCGGGAATTTGTTTATCAAATGTGGATAGAGAATCAAAGCATTCAGCGGTCTTTGTCGTATTTTATTTCTTGCAAGAAAGTTCCGTCAGTCATACAGAGAGGATACAGTCAGCCGAGTGAAAGGCGAAGAATAGAGTTTGGGTTGCATATTTAAACACAGAGAGAGGAGAAAGGGTTGGGGTTGAGCTTGGTGATAATGAAAGGAACATTCTGGAAGTTAGGGAGGCCCAGCGGGGAGGGCATACTGTATCAGGATGTTCTCAGTTCAACTGAGTTGAAGGTCATACTGAGGACAAAAAACCAACAACAACAACAAAGCATACATCTTTTGGCTGGAACAATGCCAGTGGTTTGCCAACAAATATTTTAAATGGACTAAGGTTGAGAGCTTGATTAATTAATTATTTTATTTTAAAATGTATTTTTCAATGTGTAATTTTATAGTTTTCTGGGCGATAAGTTAGTATTCATTATGAAGAAATAATGTCTCTGCTCAGTGCATTAAATATGCAGAACTTTGATCCAATTAGAAAAACAACTAAAAAAAACAACTAAAAAATCAACAATGGCTAAGACAATTATTTGTTTACCTTTGCTAGGCATTAGTTCAATGAAATCCATTTGCAGGTGATCCATTTTTTTTCATCTTGGCGTAAAATATTAGTTTTACAACCCGTAGGGGGTTTAAGTCCCCTACGTGTATTGGGGTTTAAGTCCCCCCGTAGGTGGTTAAATATTATACTCACTTACTTATATATATATAATAATATCATTGTGTGATTCTTATTTGCTAATGTGTATCTATATTTCCTTCTTCTCACACATCTTAGCTAAGCTTGGGAGCATTCCTTATTAAGAAGATTTGTTGCGGTGTAGTTAGCTACAGTCTATGTGCACCAACAGTATGACCTTCAACTCAGGTGAACTGAGAACTTCCAGAATGCTCCTTTCATTATCACCAAGCTCAACCCCTCCCTTTCGATATATTATACTTTTTACTTCACTTGATTTTACTGACGGTCAAGCTACTAGACACTATAGAAATTAAGATCTCTGCATACTAAATATACTGTCTATGCACATCAAGTGTTTTATTATCACCCGACAGCCAATACATGTACAGCTCAAACTCTCTTAATAATTTAAGTCATCTTTCTTTCTTATAATTTCCATTTATTTCGAACGATTGGGAATTTTACACTATTGCCTGGACAAAATATTTGAAGGATGACACGTTGAGCTATGAGAATCTCTGGTTGTCTGAACTACTAACCAAGCATTCTATTTATAGAGAACATATTAAGCCTTAATAATGGAAATACCTAATAGGTCTGTTTTTAAATTCATAGCGGTTGTTCAATCATCTTTATCACCTTTTTGTAGCTAAAGTTTTGTTGTGTTGCATGAAGACATTATGTTAGCCATTCCATCTTACAATTACATCAGTAGTATTTTGAATAGAATGGATAATTGTAATACTTCTCACCTATCATGCAATAATAATAATAATAATAATAAATATACACTGCTAGAAATTACATTTATGTGAAATGTACTTTGATATACACATACTATATATTTTTTTGGAACTTGCCTAAGTATTGTTGCAATAATAGACATTTTGCATTAACCCACAGCCAAGCATATCTGAACAGATGTAAGAGAGATTGTGTCATTTCATTCAATAAATGCAGACATTGTTATAAAACATTTGTGCTACAGAATAGTTTTATTCAGAGATATTTTTCTCTGATATTCTAGAAAACAGTCAAGAAAACAAGATGGAATGAAGATCACAACTCATTGCCCAAATACCAAACAAAAGTTAGATGTACAAGTAGCCACAAATGCAACCCTTTCACAGATCTGTAGATACAGTGCAAAAATAAATCATTGAATCCAGTAAATAGCTGGGTTTGTTCTTACTGACAGTTGTGTAAATAAAGAAGCATCAAGCATATGAATTTGCTTTCATATCTAACAAAGTCCACCCAACAGTCCTTGAGAAAATGCCAGCTTATTACAATAGCTTATTCACTGGGATAATATTGACTCTGCTAGAGAAAACAAGCATTAGCCAAAAGCCCTGCACACGGCAAAAGTTGTTTTGCAGAAAACGGAAATGATTGCAATCCAACATATCATTTGAACAATGTATGTAACACAGTGAAATGTCATGTTGGAAAATGATACAACTCAATACACTTCATAAAGTATATGCTCGTTATGGCAACCAGACATTAATCTGATAAATTAAGTTCTGTTATTGTGGATATTTAGCAGAATCTATTATATTATTAAGTTGGGATGCACCAATATATCATAAGACTGGTAAATAAAAGCTTTAAAAAAGCAGTATCAGTTCATTTCTGGAAATGTTTTTGCTGTAAATATTGTTTTTCTGCTGTCAAAATAATAAAAGAAAACAAGCCAACATGGTCTCTAGAAGACACTTGATTATCTTGATGATTCTTCACCTGCATTAAGATAGAGACACATGGACATTGGAATTGGCTAATATAGAAAAATATCAGCCAAATAAGACAAAAACTAAATATTTAAAACACAACAACATATTGGTGCACCCTGTTAAGCAAAAGAAAAATTTAAAAAATCTGAAAGTTCAAGTAAAGAGTTTGAGTCAGCATTACCTTAATACTTTATATAATGCTGGGCTAAGGTTAGGTTTCACCTCTACAACCTCACCTCTACAATTCACTCCTCTACAAACTACTCAATAAAAGTGCTTTGGTAAATATTCAAGTCTTTTCACAACACATACAATTGCTTGTATGAAGCTGCACTGTATAAAACAAATGAGTTGTCTTCACAACAATGGCAGGCCATTTTAACATTTATTCCGAAAGTTTCACAAGGCACTTTAGCATTAATTTCTTAGCAATCTAATAAAGTATTGTTTTATTGGGCATCATTTATCTGTCAGCTGATAAAAGTTATAATTGAGTCTAAAATAGGCACTTATTTGTCTTTTATTTAAAAAAAAAATAAAAAAAATGGAACTTGTTTGTTCTGGGTTAATTTTACATTAAAATCTGATTTTTCTATCAATTTAAAAATGTTTTAATAATTACAATTATAAAACAATAAAAGTGGTATGAAATATGTTTATCTATAGTGCATCACCTGAATAAAATGGAAGTGTATTTCCTTCAAAAAAACACAAGATGTCACTAGTCAGAGACGATGACCAGTAACATTAAAGGAGGCACTACAGCTCTTAGTAGCTGTTACAACAATACATTGAAAAGTGCTCCTTTCTTAGGAACTTGTGATTAGCAGGAACTCATATTGAGTAGCGTAGCCTTATCTTAGTGACTAGTGAAGCTGACAAAAGCAATATTAAAATGGTCGCCATTTGCAACAGGACTGTATGTTGCAATTATTGAGTACAAAAACGACGTAAGTGTCAGCAGAAAATCTCTGAGCTAAAGTATGATAACTACTTTCTGTGTTCCCTAACTCTTATTGTGTGAAATGTTCTGTAAGCCTTTATATCTAGCCTCTGTATTATGCTTCTGCATTGCATCACGATCTGAAAGGCCATCTTTTCTCAGGTCAGCATGCAAGGGAACATACAGAGCATGTATTCAGACTCAGTGGTCTTTGCAGAACTCTTTGTGACAGAAACTACAAAAGCTCTCCAGGGACCCCAGAAGCTTTCCTTCTGTTCTGCGCTGGGTTTGTCCCCCTCCCCAAAAAAAACGGTTCAATCTTTTTTATGGGAGCCTCGACTGGTAAAAGGAAGCCATGTGAGATTCTGCAGAGTCCTCCAGCCACCAGGGGATAGCGAGAAGTGAAAACGAAGATGTTAATCGGCATGTGGGAGCATCATGGGTGCCCAGGCATCACGAAGACTGTGTTAAATGTAGTCTTTAAGAGCCTTTGAGGGAGAAATGTCCGCCTTATTCTAACAGGTCCTGTGGAGAAACACAAACAATGCTTAAAGGGAGGAAGATAATCACAAAAAAGAACCTGAAAAAGTAATTTTACACAGAACCAGATACCTGATCTGAGTCTTCATTGTACTGTGCTTTTCCTGTCTCCATGTAGTGTGTGTCAATATCATCGACTCCTTCTATTTTATCAGCCTCAACATTCTCTCTCATGACAGAGTATCGATGCACGGGGAACCTGGTGAGGACATGAGGAACAAACAGATATGAAATACAGTGTTTAACAGTGTTCATTTATGTTTGTGTAGAAATATGTAACATATTTAACTGACCGTCCTCCGCAGACATATTTCTTAACCAGCCAAACGCCTGCAACAGCACTCGACAGAAGCATCGCTATGACAACCATCACTATGACAGCAGTGTTCAGTGAACTGTCTTTAGTCTGTAACGAGTTACACAAACGTGAAGAAAGGCGGGAAGAAATGACATGCGGAAAAAAACTTGAAAATCATTCAATGAAAAAAAGATTCACCAGACTTCATGTCTCTCAGCTTAGAGAAGAGACTGATGTATTTATTTGAGGAATATTACAAACAAACATGATCGGGTCGTGCCCCACCCCTACTAGGTAACTAACACATACCTTCAGTGTTCACCATGTCAAAGATCAGAGGTTCCCCTTTTGATTCTCAGGCCCTAACCCATCCCAATGTAGCTAGCTAGATACGGTTTTTCTAGCCTACCTAGTATTTTTCTCAGAAGGAACTAAACTGACCAGAGAGTTTGGAGAAAGGACGTTGCTTGTGCACATCCTCCTCAGGTCTGTTTCCTTCCTGTCGGGCTGAAAACCTCCCTCACACTGGTCTCCTGGAACCTTCCGGTAGCTTCAATTTAAGAAGAGACAGAGAGACACGTCAGGCAAGACAAATCACTAAGAAAATTACACAGGGCAGGACAAGACAGCAGGTAGACTAAACATAAGATTCTTAACACTAATGAAGAAAAATAGAAGCATACCAAGATGTTTCGTGAAGTTTTTTATAGTTGCTTTCAAACCCTATACTTAAATTGAGTGCTGCAGGGACAGTGCCATTTTCTTATTCCATTGGATTTTGGATTATTTAATCAAATAAGCTCTTTGGTAAATGATACTTACACTTTAGCAAGATTAACACCACTTGTTTGATTTTTGCAGTGGAATTGGAATTGGCTTGGGCATTTAAAATGCTAACAGTGTTAAGGACTTGTTCCTCTATTAGTGACTTATCTAAGGAACCCTTTATTATGTTGCTTCATGAACCTTGTATTTATTGTATGTACGATGTAGTTATTCTTGAACTACATTCTCATAGAACAACACTCTAATAATCTGTAGCAGGCTCCTGGAAGTGGAGTGGAGAGGTCAAAATACAAGGTTATATTTACGGCTAAGGAAAGAGAGAGTAAGATAAAAACAGGCCTCCTCACCCGCTGGTCTGAAGCTGTTCGGTGGTCCCATTTAAACAAAACTGCAGAGGGTGACCCTTCAGCTCCTCCTGCTCCACACACTCTGAGCTGTTCTTTGGTCGGTAATATCCAAAGTCACTGTGAGACAAGAAATTGACCGACACGATAAATATGTTTCCATTACTCTTACGGTTACACTAAGATGGCATTATAAATCTGTGCTATTTTACAAAAACATACCAGTGATAATCCTCTATTGTACACGGACAGGGGGACAGCTTCTTAGTGACGGCATAGTCCCTCCCGTTCCAGCAGACAGAGTCTTTCCTCAGGCGTAGGAAGGTTTCCTTACAGCCCAGCACACAGCCATCATGTGATCCACTGGGGTCTGCAGAGTGAGCCAGCCACTGCACATAGTCCCCCCCAGTGCCTGCACATGTACACAAGACCTGAGTTAGTCAAGAGGTAAAAAACCCTTTCTGTTAAACCCTCATTGTCCCACATACTCACAGTCTCTGGTGAGGATCTTCCTGAAGTCTATGGTGATCACCACCCATTTGCTGAAGTCGTTCCTGTAGCCCCACAGGCTGACGTTCATGGAGCGGGAGCCGGGCTCGCTGTCCATGCCGCTGAAGTGGAGCGGGTCGCTGGTGAAGTTATACGTATGCCAACACTGCCCCTCATCTGTGGAGAACCTGAGGGTGTGAGAGGCAAAATTGTCATTCTGTCATGACCCGTTAAATAAATACATTACTGTTACAATGCTTTGTGAGTTGTTCTTGCATTGATTTAATGATATTTATTTCACTTGAATTAAAGCAAACAATGACTATGTACTTGTTAAGCATTATATCTGCCTATACCTCAGAATAGTTATTAGATAATGCATTGTAAAATAATTATATATATATATATATATAGCATATGTTATATTAATATTGCTATGAGAAATATAATAAACTATGACCCTTAAAAGTATTATGATATCTCTTATATCTATGATACAAATGCTTGAGAAGGTGTTATGATGGATAAGTATTTGAATATTTAGGAGTGATATAACTTTTATTATACATGTGCTAAAAGCAGATTATAATGCTTTACGTATATATATATTTAATGCAGTATACACATGGTATTCATAAAAAGTGCTACCAACGATACTAAAATAAACTAATTGTGTAGATATATTCACTTTATCTGGTTGACAGGAGCGTTGGTTTGTTCCACAGCCACCAGCAGCCCCCCAGAGTCCATTATAGTGTAATGGTGGGGGCCTCTGAGTGCCAACATCCACGAGTAGCCCCCGTCATCCGACACGTACACATCAGGTGAGATAGAGGACACTTCATCCCCAACACTGCCTGAGGAAACGCAGGACAAAGGTGTTAGTAAACATCTCACCATGCAGTAAAAGTATTTATTTGTATATTTGTATTTATTTACCATGGGCAAGAATGATGCCCACAGCACTGGATTGTGAGAGAGGCAGCATGGGGACGTTCATCATCATGGTGATGCTGTAGGCTGCGTGGATGAGGAGTCTGCACTGTAAACACATGATTATATGTTGGTACCAAGTCCACATGCAGACACTCATATTTTCTTATGCTAAAATTCCATAGAAACGAGAAACAGAACTGATCTCATACAATAACAAGACTCTAACAGGTAAGTGAATAAATGAAACACTCCAGAAGTAATGAGAAATACTCAAAGATAAAACCGAATATATTTAAATGATGCATGAATGTTTGTCTCACTCTGTTAGGCCTGTTGGTCGAGGTCTCGTTGTCACAGTGGCTGTTCTGTGGTCTGCGTAGCGTCTGCCATTTTGCTCCCTGGTCAAAGGTGATCACTGTCTCCATTGCACCATCTGCAGTTAATAACATTCACTTCAGTTCAGGATCCACATGGGTACACAACTATCTAACCACATTTTCAAAAACATTTTCTCAATCCATGGACTCATACCCTGCCTTCTATGTAGCAACTGTTCTTCGTTTATACTACTATGGTGAGAGAATGAAAAATCGACTAAATCAACCAATCGAAAATCTGTTTGGCATCAATGGCAGTGAACATTTAGTCGACTTTATCTTAAATTATAAGGATTAGTAAGGACTCATTACATAACGAGTTCAAGGAAGGATTCTAAATTTAGGATGCCAAAAAAACAAAACTGTATTCACAATCAACGCTATAAAAACACCCAATAAAATAACCACAATGGAAAGCAGTTTGTGTTTGGTTGAAATGTTTTGTTGTTTTTTTTGGCATGTATACAGGATTTGCCATTCAATGGCATGGATCAAAGGTGGAATAAAGTTACATTGTCGTATAGTATAATAAGTCACGGTCTAAAAAGTATAAAATATATTTGTGGATAAGAAACATCAGATGGTTTACTAACTTTAACAAACATACTATTACATCATCACTGTGATGTTCCAGTGTGGCGAAGAGACAAATTGAGCAATTCTTAAAATGAAAATAAATGATATCATATTTCACAATGTTGACAAAAAGGTGCCCGAAGACTCGTCTTAAAATGTGTAAGTACATATAAATAACTCGGTGTGCTGACTCACCCTCTGAGAGAACGCTGGTCATGTAGACGCCCCTGAGTGAAGAGATGGCGGTGAAGTCGGTTTCGCTTCCTGTGGTCGTGTAAAGATGGCGCTCCAGAGACTTGGAGAAAACAGCTCCTCTGTCATCTGACACATAGATGGTTCCAACACCTGAGTCTGATCACACACACACACACACACACACACACACACACACACACACACACACACCTCTACGGACTGTTGTCCTACGGTTTAAGTTTATCTTTTTAAAATGTTTCTTTATGTCAATCAAGGGAAAGTTCAATTTACACGCAATATTCCACTATCAGGATCTGAGTGGTGCTAATAAGAAAGGCATTTGTTTTTAAGTGGTGTTTCCAATTATCTAAAGATTATACAATACATAAACAAACACCATAAAGAATTCACATGAGACAATACAAGCGAAGGCCTCATTTTTAGACAAATTAATTCAATGCCTTCAAGACTTTTTAAGCCTCAGCTGGATCCTTGTGCAGAAGATTTTTTATTCAATAACACATTTTAAAAACAAAACCTCAGTGTTACATATTAGTAGGTGTAATTTGAGGAAAGAGTTCTGTCCTGAACTTTTATTTCACAACAAGTGCACTGACTGCCAGATTCCAGTCTGTTCACCCAGAGTCACATTCAAGGGTTTGGTAATTTCAGCAACATATTTAGCCACCAAAGGTTTCTCCCCTCCTGTCTTTCTCTGGCAGGGCAGAGATGTTTACAAGGTGAGCCGAGCCCCGGAGAGTCTGCACACCGCTCTATAAAGCCACAGGAGACGGCCAGGTCTGGCTGCTGGAAACTCCTTGTAAACAGGTCCAGTGGAAACTGGCCAGCCGCGAATATCCGAGTGTGTGAACACAACTTTCCATCTATTCTCTACATAAATCACTTCATCACCCCCTCGCCTGCATCAAACTATTCTTTAATCTCCATCAGTTGACAGTCTGACAACTTAACCTCCTCTTTTTGCAGTAATTTAGTCAATCTGGTATTCAGTTAGAAAATGTTAAGCAGGATGTGTCCTGTCCTCCAAACAGTCTCGCGCCAATAAATCAGTGTTTTGGCTTCAAATCTTTCAGGGAATATTGTTTCATGTCAGTTTGATCTATTTCCCTGTATTCCTGCTTTTTCTCTGTTTCCATGTAATAAAAGTGATTATAGTGAAATAAAAAACATTTTAAAGTAAAGGGCTATTATGGGTTTTAGAGACGGGTGAAACATCGAAGTTATGGTCATACTTGAGGTTTAAGCGGGACTTAATGGGTGCACAGAAATCAACTTTTACTCATAATATGTAATGACGTTAAGAAGAGATCAATGTGGGTAACCCATGAATACTTCTCTGTCCTCCCATCTTAACATGCAAACCGTCTTTGATTCATAATTATAATCATTAACAACCATATCAATACTACTATTGCAATAATCACAACATTAGTGTGACAGAACCATGAAAACTACAGTTTCATATAATAAACTAAGCCATTTCATGGTCTTAGCCATATTATCTGTGCTTTATAATGACAGCTAACATATATCTAAGGTTATGACTGGGTGTTTAAACCCATTTTGTTTGTTGTAAGTACAGTGAAAGCAAGGATTTCAAAACTCACTGATTTGAATTATTCTCAACACAATTAAAAATACATTTACTTTTGTTTCAGGGAACAAATATCTGTCAGCAAGACCAAAGAAATACTGTATAAGTTCTTATTATAACTTTACGAAGAAGTATCATACCATTCAAATGATATTCTATTTTAATTAGGGAGCACAAACATGAAACAATTATTGGTCAACACTAAGAGCCTACAGCCACGTTTGCAGAACTATGATGCTGTAGTTTGTACACTTTGTGCTAAAGGCTAACGTCAGCATGCTATCATTCTTACAATGCTACATGTTTAAGCGATGTGTCATCAACCCCATTTACCTTTGCATTGTAGCTGTTTAGCATGGTAAAGTGTGCTAGTTAGACAACACAAAGAACATCTAATAATGATGGAGGTGTATTTATGTCAAAAAAGTGACTACTGGCGGATGTATCCGAAAGGTCAAAAATGAGTATCAAAAACATGCTCTACGATATTGTATAAACCTTACTCTGCAACATAGAACATTCATTTATTCTGGATATTATCACAACGCAAAGAACTCCCATAGAAAAGAAGGAAAAGCAATAAAAAAAAGTTATCTTTACAAAAGTAAGAAGTGTGGTCACATTGAGCAAAGCTGCCGAGGTCACTGCAGGTCAGCAGGATTCAGGGTGTGTAATGTGTATTGTTTTAGGATCAAATATTTGCAAAAGTTTCTGCCAATAGCTTGCACACCTGTATTGAATCCAACCCGCAGGATATTTTCCACATCTGCTCCCATGAAGCCCCTGACTGGATAAATGCTGAATGCTTCACTGAGACTGAAACTTAAACAACTAACAACTGCATGATAAAAAAAAAGGTCAGATGAAAAAAAAGGCTGTGAAAGCTGTGACTGAGTGAAAACTGCTGGAGAAGGGTTAAGCAGAACGGGAAAAGGTTATTAACCACTCGGTCCTGTTCTGTAATGGGGATAACAGAAGCACAGAGGGAGACAGTGAAGAGAAGAAAAGATGCTTGAGCTATTAGTCAGCGAAAAGAGTGAAGAGATAAATGCCTGACCTTGCTGGCTGTGGCCTCACAAACCAAACATGACCTCATGCTGCATCACATGTTTAATTTAAGGACTTGCTTCTTTGAGCTTCATCTGCTCAAAAGCTCATGAAACTCCAGGTGTGTGTCAATAGATTGACTTTCGAACATGAACAGTGAAGCACAAGTGAATGTTACCCACTCTGCTGTACATGAACGCACACACATGTCCATGCAGACGCAGTCATAGCCTGTTGGTGGGTGGGAGCACAGCGAGTTCCTCTCAGAAGTCGGACGCCAGCACAATGAGCTCCTTATTCCCTCTGCTCTGGGTTTTAACCTTTCTGCTTCAGCCGTGTTTACACACACAGAACTTCAGAAGAGGAGGTCAAACTCTCTTGGCTCTGATCTAAACACATGAAGCTGTGTACACCAACCCTCTGACGCTGGGCTCAGCTGGGTAAGCTGGGCTGTATTATATATATTTTTCAAGAAATCCAGCCATGTGTTGCTCATATTAGCATTTAGTGAAATATCTTTATATGCATTTTATCAAGAAAAAGCACCATTGTGCCTGTGTAGAGTTTCAAGCATGAGTGTAGACTCAAAGTCCTAGTTTTGTTATATTTTATACAACAAAAAATTCAGTGATTAATCAAGAAAAGAATTGCCTGTAGTCCTGATTACATCTACATGGGTGCAGGACAGAGAAACGTCTGCAAATTGTTACATTTGAGAAGCTAGAACCAGCAAAGTAATGGCATTTTTGATGATAGAAACATTTGCCTTAACAAAAATGTATTAGTTGTATGTATGATAATGACTTTTAGCACTGGTGTGGATGCAATTAAATGCAAACTCAGCTTAAAACATACTTTATAAACTTCTACAGCTTCTAAAATTCAAGCACAATTCTACCTCACAGTGCTTCTCTATTTTCACCAGTTTGTTGCTCTCATTGGATATCTCTCCCTGTATATCAACAAACCCATACTTTCCATAACTCTCTCTCTCCCCCTATCTCTCACCCACCATGTGGAACATCAACTCTGCTGCTTTTCTTGGTGCTCCCACAGCTGGCTGCCACTCATTATGATTCACCCTGAAAATAGAACATGTTTTTTCTCTACGATCTTTCGGCCAGAGGGGATAGAGGACGGGATGGAGTGAGGAGGAAAACATCATCGTAAAGGAACAGCAAGCTAGTTTTCGAACCAGACTTCATCAGCTAAATTAACCTTGCACAAACATACAGGAACAAAAGCTCAGGGTGGTGAACAAAACAGATGCTGTGTAGACTAAGTTGATCTGGCATATATTACACCATATATAAATAAAACAAGGAGTTAAAACGACTGATGTAAACGCCTTGTCTAATCCAGCCCTGCAGCTCTGATAACAGAACATTTAAGTCCACACTGGCGCTCAGGTCGAGTCAAGCTGTAAAATTGTGGGGAATGTTTGTGAGGGAGAAAAGACCCCGAGGAGACAGGAGGGGTCTGCTCTCACGCCGGATCGTTTTCATGCTCAAAGCTAGCCCAGGTGTCTGAGGCCACAGAAATTCTGTCTGTCTGTCTGTCTGTCTGTCTGTCTGTCTGTCTGTCTGTCTGTCTGTCTGTCTGTCTGTCTGTCTGTCTGTCTGTCT